GGAAATAGCATTTGGCGTGCAGACGACCAGCACGGTTTATGACGTGCGCGCTTGAAAAGCTATTTTCGAGGAAATCGTTTTAGTTTATTTAATTTCTAGAAATCTGTCGATGCATGTCCGCGTAGAAACTTTCTTCGACGGCCTGAATAGTAAATTGCCGCGTCATAAACCAAAGGTTTCCGGAAGGTCCGCCGTACGAGGCCCAGAGGCCACGACCGAACACGTTACGAGTACCTGACCTGGAGGAAATTCCGTTGTGTTGCCAAATCTTCGATGTGGAATACACCCCTCCGCCAAGTCGCACCGCGGTCCCGGAAAAAGCGCGCCAAGGGACACACAGCGACTTGTAAGAAAATTACCTGATTGGCTAACATCGATGCGACGAGTTAGCCAATCAGGAAAACTAACAAGGCGACGAAAAGTTAGTTGGAAAAAGGTCAATCTAGCGTGAACCTCCAGAGCTAAAACACTAGTATCGACAAAAACTTCACCGGACTATCATGTGGGTACATTGCTGAACCCAGTAACACGCATTTTCATTATCCTTCATTACTTTCGAATTGTGGAATCGCGAAAACGTCTTATCATCGCTGTATTTATTCCAACAAATGCTGTAATTCATTGCCTCTTACTTTTATGTACACAGATAGTCTTGCCGTAAAGTTTACGTTCTAATAATACATAACGTACAGCTAGGAACGTAAACATTTTGGTAATTTACGACATTGCGTGGAATAACAGTAGTCGGTACCTAATAAATTTTCTTTGGAAGAACAAGTGGATATGATCCTCATTTATGGGGAACTCGTCCAAATTCAATAAGAGACTGTGCAAAAGATTTTGTTTACCCAATGAACTTTACCCAAATCGATGGATAGGGCGTGGAGAATTAATTTCGTGGCCAGCTCGTTTTCCAGGCTTAACCCCGTCAGTTTCTCTGGGGAACGCTGAAAAATGTTGTCCATCAAGAAGTACCGACTAAATCGGAAAATACGAGACAGCGGATTACTGCAACATGTGCTAGAATCAGTTCAGAGGCGAGAAAACGTGCACGTGATTTAGAGATGCAAAGATTGCAATTTTGCGTGGACACAAACGGTCAATACTTCAAACATCTTTTGTAACGTAAGAAAATTTTGTTCTACGCGAGCAATGGTACTGGGTCTATGTATTCGGACCCCAACGTAAACTCGTATCGTATTGTGTGTTTTTACTTATTTCTACAAGTCATGATATGGATAATAATGATCAATTATAAGAATAGACTACAAAATAAAAAAATATATATAACGCTCGTGTCGCGTCGCGTTCTTTAGCGATGTTCAAAGGGAAGCTCGCGGTCGCGACTAGTTCAACTAGTTCAAATTTGTTTTGCTGTTACGTAGCAAAACGTAGAGTGTGTCACGAAACGATTGACGACTTATTTGAAAACTCGAGTATTCGATCGCGACTCGAATTGTACTTGTCTACTCGAACGGCTGGAGAGAGTGTCTTGTTCACACGAGAGAATCTTTGCAAATGTGTTGTGTCTCCTCGAACGGTTGGAGATCTAATGGTGTTCGCTCGATAGAACCTTTTCTGAATCTGCTCGCTCGATTCCCGAATTTTTCTGGAGTCCGC